CCAGACCTGGTTCGAGAGTACCAGGGCCCCTCGCAAGGGCTGTGCCGATGTCGACCTTGAACCGAAAGACCCTGGGAAGACGCGCCGAGCTCAGCAGGAGCTGCGGCGAGGTGTGGGGCGGCGCGCGGAGCGGGCGGCTTGGCCGGCGCCCCTGTGACAGGCTTTGACTCGTGCACAGCTGCCTGGCGCCAGCGGTGGCCGGAACTGACCGAACGTGTGTCACTGCAATGTGCAGGCACAATGCCGCCGAATGAGGACCGCCCGAGTGCCTGTGGCAGGTGCACAGCACCCGAGAGGCTCAGAGGGTCCACGTGCCAGATCCAGGCCGGGACGAGGGACCGCATTCTGCGCTAGAGGCCGCGCGGGCCCCGCCACCCAGAGCCCCGCTGAGGACCTGCAGAGGTCACACCACACCAAGGTCTCACCACCGAATCCTTCATCTTCCCAGGGAGGGGATCCGCAGCCGACACCTCCAGATTTCGCTGTCGAAATTTCGGGAAAAATCTGCATTGAATTAAGGACCTGAAAACGAAAAAACACACAGGTTTTACTTCTTAAAATATGTGCCCATTACAGTGTTCGAGGTCGACGAACCTCCACCGGGACCTCACGCTCGGATGACAAAAGCAAGGCCCCCTCCTTCCCAACGAAGTTCAGTGCCCACGAAGAGAAGGTTGTGTGTGTGTGTGTCACAGCTGTGTGTGTGTGTCACAGCTGTGTGTCACAGCTGTGCGTATGTGTGTTACAGCGTGGGACGTGTTACTCAGCTGTGTGTGTGTCACAGCTGTGTGTGTGTGTCACGGCTATGTGTATCATATCCGTGTGCGTCACGGCTGTGTGTGTGTGTCACAGCTGTGCGTGTGTGTGTTACAGCATGGGACGTGTTACTCACAGCTCTGTGTGTGTGTCACAGCTGTGCGTGTGTGTGTTACAGCGTGGGACGTGTTACTCACAGCTGTGTGTATGTGTGTCACAGCTGTGTGTGTGTGTTACAGCTGTGTGTGTGTGTCACAGCTGTGTGTGTGTGTGTTACAGTGTGGGATGTGTTACTCATAGCTGTATGTGTGTGTCACAGCTGTGTGTGTGTGTCACGGCTGTGTGCGTGTGTCACGGCTGTGTGTGTGTCACGGCGGGGGGGGACAGTGTCACTCACAGGAGCACAGACGGGTCGCTGCTCTGCCTGCTCAGATGGTAGCACAGGGAGGCCAGGAGACCACAGAAAGCCGAAAACAGCGCTGGGATGTGCTGAGTGCTCCACGGCTCCTGGGGGCAGACACCAGACAGCCAGGTCACTCCGTGGGTGTCGGCCAGCAAGGCCACGCACTATAGTATACACGCCTAGGTACCTGTCCCAGCGTCCAGCTAGACGGACGCCTGCCAATGGACATATCAGCCCCCGATGGCCACACAGAAACCTCACCTGTTCACCTATAAACAGTGATTTCAGGAGAGATGGGCTGGACATTTCAAACTAACTGTATGTGTCTATGACAATACATTTAATTAATCTTTCTGGAGAATATACTTACTTTTTTCTGAAATTAAGTTTAGGATTCTTATAAGATGTCACATTAGACATGTGTCGCCTCATCTGAATTCAACAGGATACTTAATAATGACGAGAACTGTATTTCTTAGTTTCTTTAATCAGTGGTTTTAAAGGTATAAGACGCAAACATGGCCTTAAGACATCGACTAGTAGACTGACGTGAAACTCGGCAAAAAGTAGAGACCTCTGAAGAAACAGAAAAACTGTTTGAGATCCAAACAGCGAGACGCTTCTGTTTTATTGGGACAGAGGCGCAGAAGTGGTGACCAACACAGCTTTGGGCCGGACAAACAACACAGGTGCCCCCTGTTCCCGCGACAGCAGATTGGGCGGCGGGTGGCCTGGGGCCCGCTCTCCTGCCAGCCACCCCTCCCCGAAGGTCCCCAACACAGACGAGTCCTCATATATCATACAAGGAGGGAAACGACTTTGTATTCGGCCTTTCGAGCACCGCCACGGGCACCGCCGCCTTGTATACTGCCTCTCGAGGTGCTGAGCCCTCCGCTCCCCGGGGTTCTGTTTGGCGAGGGTGGTCGTCAACTGTCCATAAATTCGGCAGGCGAGTGAGCCCTACTCGCGGCTGCTCATACGCTGCAAGGCGACGCGTGCGCGCTCATGTCCGCCGGCCCCACTGTCCTACGATTCAAATGCACGTCCCTCCTGTCCCCGGAGAGGGCTGAAGGTCGGAGCAGCCCCTGGAAGTGAACCGGGGAGCCGAGCCTCACTGGGGGCCCCGAGCGGTGGCTGGACAGTCGGGCGTGTGACCGCCGGCTCCAGGTACAGGGTTCCCACTGCCACCAGCGAGGCGGCTGGAGTGGCAGCGACCACGCCCATCACGCCTTCCGGACTCGGTGCAAGGTCTCCGTGTGCGGGGAGGCCCCAGCGGTCAGAGCAGAGTCCGCCGCGTCTCTCCCTTCCGGGACCCAGGGGAGAGGGGCACCCCGTCCCTAGACCGACCGTCCCCTGGCACCCGCGATGTCCCCTTACTCTAGAGACGTCCCCTAGAGGAAGCCATGCTCCTTCCCCCGGCTCCTTCTGCCCCGTCTACGTGAACGCCTAGATGCTGGCCCCCTGCTCCAGGGACCCCGCGGGCCCGGAGCCCTGTCCCCTCCCCTTCGGCGCCAGCTCAGTGGTGCAGGGGGCCCCTTCATCAGACGCCGGGTGCCAACTTCGTCACTCGGGGCACCTACCCGTGGGAACGGCACGTCCTCACAGCGGGCAGAGCCGGCCATCGTGGATTTGAGCCCCGGCCTGGCCCGACGCGCCCGTGGCTTTGACCCGTTTCTTAACAGCTCCGAGGCCGCGTGGCCTCCTCCTCTCTACGGTGGGAAAGCCGTACGCCCGGGCTGCGGTGGGTCCCTCTCAGTTCCCAGGGCCATGTCTTCAGTGCGTGACAGGGGAGGGTTCCGTGCCACCACGTGTGACAGGCGCCCAGGGCACGGAGTCGGAAACCTGTTGTGAGCTGTGTCCTCTCCGTCGGCTGATGTTACGTGTCGCACGTCTCTGTGCCTCTCCGCCCTGTCCCTTCCTCTCGGGGCATCCCACCCGGCCAGGCCCCGCTGTCCCGTCCAGAACAACCGCTCGCACTGGGAAGACGGGATGCCAGCCCCTGCGCCATGGACCCTGAGACTCATCCCCACGTGGCAGAGAGTGGCCTCCTCTCAGAAGGCCCTTTGCCCGGTTTTATTCTGTAATTCCTCATCGCCTGCCAATGAAACATACTCCCCGGAGGCCGTGGAAGCCAGTTAGGAGCTGGCCCTCAGTCCCATTCAGGACACGCACAGCAGCAGGACCGTAAAGACGCTGCCTTCGCACACGGGGCGCCCCTGCACAGAGGACGTGGCCGCTCTGGCCCTCGTGCCCCCTCCCACTCCCCGTCCCCCGCCCCGCCTGGCGAACTCCGTGCCTCGGCTTCCAGCAGAACCGGTGCCACCTGCTCGGTGCTCCCTCCACTCTGGGCCAGGCACCAAGGGCCCCTCCTGTGATGAGGACGGACACGGGGTCTTGGGAAAGGACGCACACACAAGTACGTGCACTAAGGTGTGACAGGTGACTTGGCGGGGGTGCGCCTGGTGCTAGGCACTCACGGAGCGGGAAGCAGAGGCACGAGCGGGTGGAGACAGTGGTGTTGGGGGATCCCCCACACGGAAGGCAGAAGGAGCACGGCCCTGCAGGGCCCCTGGGAAGGGCGAGCCTAGGGTGAGCTGCCGCCCCCGCATCTGCATCCGCATCCGCCCGCTCCGGCGGCCGACTAAGGATGCTCGCCTCGTACTTCCTAACTGGCTTGCACCCTCACACACACACACACACATGAAAAGTTTTCCAGAAGGGAAATACCCACTGAATTCTACTTCCTGTCGTCGGTTCTTCCGTGCCTGCCTCTGCTGTGTATTTAATTCACAGTTTCGTGAAGCCTATAAAAATGCAAATGCTGGGGAAAATCACTATGACAAGGACTGAGTAACCGTGACGCAGGAAAGGTCGAAGCAACGAGCGTTTGCAGAAGCCGATTCCAGGCTCGTCGCTTCCTGGAATGAACGATTCTGGGGAAGGTATTTAATGTCTCAGAGGCCCGACTTCTTCTTCTGTAAAAAGGTGACGATGACACCTTTCTTGAGAAATTGCTATAATGACTTAATGAGATTTGAAACGGCCTCGCTCGCTGCGAAGCGATGTGTCGACGTTAGTTTTTATTAATTGGAAAAGCGAGAGCCCGCGTGACGGATGGTCTTCACAGGCGACACATCGGAGCCAGACTAAAATATTTAAATAACGACGTCCCTTTCATTTGCCCGACACCCCTTACCTGTCTGCTCTCTACGTCACTAAATCTCTTCGCTGCTAATGCGAAAGGCCAGGGCCCCTCCCTCCTCACCCGCCCCATAACATGGGCAGGAATGTGATGTGGGCCGTGGGATGTGGCGTTGGAGGAGAGACTGTCCCCTTCCTGACTTTATCTGAGGCCCCGACTACACATCTGGGTAAGTGACCGTCAGCTGGCCGTCTGCTCCTCCCAGGGGCTGAGCCTGCCGGCAGCAGGGGCTCGTCTGTGTCACCCCAGTGGACTCCGAACACCCTGTGCGGGCCGGGTCCGAAAGGCATTTGATCGTGACGTACAGAACCAATGGGCTGGTTCTCGGAGTGACTGTCCCTTCCTTCCTGCACCGTGCGGAGTGGAGACGGGACCAGCGGGCACCGTTTCGCCCACGTGTCTGTGAGTGCACAGGGGCTGGCCTTTCCCGGGGTGGGTGGCCTTTCCCGGGGTGGGTGGCCTTTCCCGGGGTGGGGCAGCAGGCCAGGCACGGGCTCTGGCCGGAGGCTGCGGCTTCAGCGCCGCTGTGCTGATCACCTGCACCAAGACACTGGGCAGGCCAGCGCGCCTCAGAGTCCTCATCCAAGATAACCTCACTGTCGCACGTCGTGGGGCTGCTGCAAATATCCTGTGAAACACGTTGTCACGTGCTTGCTGGAGTAGCCAGTATAAGGCGCTCGGTAAATGTTTCCTTATGACGCCGTCTCAGCCCGTCTGGGCCGCGGTCACAGGAATGAGCTGCCGCGGTGCTGGACACTGGGGGCCCACGGCGCCCGCAGCGGTGGCGACCCGAGCAGCTCTTCCCGGTCCGCGGCCGGCACCTCTCACTGTCCTCACGCGGCGGGCGGGGCAACGGGGTTTTCTGGCCTGTTCTACAGGGGCACGAACGCCACCCGTGAGGGCCCCACCCCACGACCCGACCGCCCCCCGATACCGGGACCCTCGGGCTTAGCGTTTCGCAGCACGGCTGGGCTGGCCCGGAGCACGTCGGCCCACGGCGGATGCGTGAGGGGGCCGCGGCGAAATCACATTTCCGGAACAAACCAGACTCGACCTGAAGAACGGCCCGCGCTTCCCCAGGAGGCGACGGAAGAGCAGTGACTTCCTGTCGATTGATTCCTTGTGACCTTCTGGCCCTGCACCGCAGACCGCAAATGAGGGGACAGGTCTTTACACATGTGACTGTGACCTTGCCGAGAAGGGACGTCCTCGTCCCAAGCTGCGCGAGCTCAACCGATCGATCTTATTAGGGCGAACTGAGTCATCGTTTTCACCGTGACGTTCCTGCCGGTGCGTGTCCCAGGTCAGAGCAAGTCGGAATTCATCTTTCCACACACGCGACTTCTACGAAGCGTAAGCGGGAGCTTCTGGATACACTGTCGGCCGTGGACAGGTGGCAGGGTGGCACGGAGGTGACACAGAAGGCGTGACGCCAGGACAGCCCTTATTCTTCCAGGGAGAATGGACGGACGAAGGGGCAGAGCCCACGTTCCCGGCGCGGCCGCGCACGGTGTCCGACCCCGGCTCCGACCTCCGCACAGCTCCGTCTCGGAGCCCGGCTGGCGGGTGCCCGGGGCTGCAGGCGGCTGGACGTGGCCTCGGGCCCGAGCTCTGACTCTCCCTTCCCCACAGATGCGGAAACTCACGCAGAGAACAGAAGCACCTGCTCGGGGACACGGGGACAGGAGAGGCGTCTCGGACTCCCACGTGCAGAGCAGAAGGACGTGAAACACCAGGCCGTCTTCGGGAAGGATTATCATGACTCGAAAGGGATTCCACAGCTGAGCCAAGCTCCCCGCTTCCATCACTGGTCACAAGAGAGGACAAGACGTGCGGGAGAGGCTGGCCCGGGTGGCAGCGCTGGGCAGCGCCCCGCCCGCCCCACCGGCCTGAACGTCGTGC